GTTTTTTTTTTTTTTTTTTTTTTTTTTAATTTGTAGATGGAGCAGGCTGAATCTATCCTCAAAATCCCTTTTCCCTCCCCATTTCCTCAAGGAGGTATTTTTGTTCTGCATTTCAAGCATGTCCTTCCACTTGGGCCTTCCCCAACACAAATTCAGAACTCAGAGTCATTAGGCTCTCCTTCGGCTCCACCAATAAATGGACCTTGGTTTACGAATTGTGAATTTTAGCCCAGAAATTGCCCGTGTGTCTCTCGCATGCCTCTCTTGGGCTTTCCGTTGTGTTTTAAATGGTGGCAGGGTTCTTGGGGAGCCAGATCGCTGGGTGTCTCCCCTGCTTCACTCTCCCCGGTGCAGGACCTGCTGCTGGGGTGCTATGGCTGTCTCCTGCCCTCTGCAGCTCGGGCTTCTCAGCTGCCAGGGTTGGAAGAAGCTGGTAATCTGACCTCCCATACTACTGCGTTAATATCAGGTCATCTGAAACGTCATGACGCATTTTTACATAGAAAAACATGGACACGTATGTCAGATTTTCCCAATGACCTGTTATATCCCAGAATTAAAGGAGCTTCAAGAAACAAAAACTTGAGCAATCCTGCTGTCAGTGGTGCTGTGGTCTTGCCGTTCTCAGAGGGGTGGGGGAGTCAGCGGAGCAGCTACAGCTGCAGGGCCTTCCCGTTCCACGGCTCCTGCCGGCATGGAACGCTGCGGCATGGAACGCTGCGCTTCTCAGCGCAAGAGAAAGGGCAATTCTGGTTGGGCACTGGAAGTACCGGTAGGAACTACTTTGCATTTTTCCTTTACAAAGAAATGTCTTTCTTTCTTTCCTTCTTTTTTAAAAATTTGCCAGGAGGGCACGTGTGCGTGCCAGAGGGAAAAAGAGAAAGCAAGAAAGCACCCACCCACCACGGGCCATGGTCACGCCACAATCCCTTCTCCTCCATTTTTCCCTCCTTTTGGGATTTGGGGACACCCCTGCACAGATGCCTGGGGTGTTGATCAAGCCATCAGGTCCAGGACTCAAACCATACAGTCGGCCATGTGGGCTCCAGCAGCTTTAATCATCAAGCCACGGACAAACTGGCCCCAAAGGAACATCTTTTTAGCTCCGTCCGTGGACAGAACCTGGAGCAGCAAGGAGCCCCAGCTCATCAGCCGCTTTCCATATACAGTTCCTGTAACAGAAACCAGGAGACTAGAGAAAGGAGACCAAGCAAGGGCCCAGGCACGGGGCCTGCCAGATAGCAAGGGTGTCGCCAAGGCCTACTCGGGCTCCACCAGAAGGATGTAGGAGCCTCTGTGAGCTTCCACTACCAGATACAGGGGGACTCAGCAAGGGCGGCTGGACAGGATCCACACCCTGTCGTCCCCTCTCCTCCCCATGCCTGCTGGGACCCTCTACACAGCCTTCCCCATACCTCCGCCTCCTGGTTCCTCCCAGGGCTGACCCTCTCCTCGCATCCAAGAGCCCCACCTCTCTCCTTTGCTCCCCAGATGTCACCTTCAGTGGCAGGATCCAGAGTGTAGCTCCTGCCACAGCCTTGCACCACCCGCTCCCCAGCCGAGCCTCGCTTTTCCCGTGTGTCTGTAAAGTCGGGGAAGGTCCGATGGCCTGGCAGGCCCAGCACAGGTGGTCTTGAGGCCCAGCCCTGCTTCTGGCCATGGGGGTGGGGGTGGGGGGGCGGCAGGAATACCTGCCCCACAGTCATCGTGTGGGGAACCAGGTCAGAGCTGCTGTCACTCCACAAGGAGCCATCTCCATCCCCTCCCCAGCAGGCACCTCCCTCACAGAGCCTCTCCTCACAGTAGGCGAATAGAACTCTTTAATACAACTGCAGTAGCTTTGTGAGATGCCTGTGCAGACCGAATCAAGAGCCGGGAGCCCGGGAGGTGGAGGTGGGCCTGGGTCCTCCCATCCAGGGCAGGGAGCAGCATGCAGGTGCCCTAGTACTTGAGCAGCCAGCGGGGCCTGTGCGGGCTTAGTGATGTGAAGTAGGACCACCACCAGGGCTTGCTCCCGCTGGCCGAGGGCTGCCTGCGCGCCCCAAGGGGCTCCAAGCCCTGCTCTGTGGGCTCCCCGAGCAGGTCAGCACCTCCCAGTGGGTCTCTGGGTCCAGGCCCGGTTCTCCGCAGGCCTTGAAAGGACTTCTTGGGTCCCAGTGCAAGAGGCTGGAGAATGAAGTCCACACGGCCGGCCCTCTTCATCCGGGCAGGAATGGTGACTTTCTTGATGACCTTGGAGTAGCCAGGGGCTTGGGCAATGACAATGTGGGAGCCTGGGGGCAGCAGCCTCCAGTAGTCACCATCTGGGGCTAGGGACAAATGGAATAGAAGTGACTCTCACTGGGGCTGCAGACCGTGCAGAGTGACAGGTGTTGGGTGTCAGTGGGGCGGTGAGCGTGGCGGGCAGACAGATGCGTGTGGCCGGTATCGTCCTTCTCACCTCCTCTCCCCATCAAGCTCTCCTCATCCCTCACAGCCTCTTCTCTGAAGCCTTCACTGACTGTCCACACCCACCCACACGGTTAGAAGTCCCTCCCCCTCTGGACCAGAGCTGCAGAGAAGCCATAGCACAGTGGACTGCAATTGTGTGTGTGTTTACTATGGGTGTGTGTGCTCGCTGGAGAGAGACAGAGCAAAAGAGGGGGGTAGTGAGAGACCACCCTCTGGGAGACGGCCACACCACCATCCCTCTTCTCCACGCTCCTCTCCGGATTTTGAGCACACACACAAACACGCTCGGTGTGATTTTCAAGCCACCAGGTCTGGGACCCGAACTGCGCAGTCAGCCCTGTGGGCTCCAGCAGCCTTCACTGCCGTGCCATCTGCTGGTCCTGTGCACTGCAATTTTCCATCGGCTGTGACGGCCCTGAGGGCAGCCAGAGTGCATGGTAGAGCAGACACCAGCTCATCAGTGGGACGTGAACTCTGGGACCTAAGTAGGCGGGCTCATGCGTGGAGGTAGCTCTCCCACCACTACTGAGAAGGTGGCATTAGGGACACAGAACACGCATCAGCTGTCATTCAGCAGCCAGCACCCAGGTAAGCTCTTCCCGGGGCGAGTGCTGCTGAGACCCAGGGGCAGCCCGGGACCCACACTCCCCACCGGCTGAGGGTGCCCGTGCTGCGAAGGCCAGGGTGCTGTGGGCGCTGGAGGGAGCGGGTGGCACTGCACCGGCGCGCCGGGCGCCGC